CGGCGCAGACGCGCGCGAAGAGCCGGAGGGTCAGGTAATGCGGTCTCGGCTTTACCACAGAAAAGAGCGACACCCGCGGTTCTCCACGGCTCGGGGCAAGAGCAGGGCCTCAGGGAGGAAAGAGGAGAAGCTACTTCGCAGGGTGGGCTTGGGCCAGCTTGCGCCTGTCCACAGGTAGATGTTGGCAGGCGCCGGGGACCATCTGACGCCCAGCGGTCCGGGTCGTTCCTCGACAATCGTGTCTGAGGACAGGACAGGCAGACGCCGTGTCTCCTGAGTAGACTCTCGCAGGCCTGCGGGCTGGTTACACATCCATCAGGCAGAGTAAGCATGTGGCCTAGGGCACACGACACTTTGGGGGACGGGGGCGGGGGCACGAAAATCTTCTAACTTGTAAAGTCAGAAGAAAACAGTGAACTCTTAAGATTAAAGAAAATGTTTTGACTATTTTCTTACATCAGAACAAAAGTGAATTTTTAGGACCCACGAAAATTATCGATTTTTATTTTATTTTTTAAATGAGGAAGGGCCCCACGAAGGGAAAAGTGCTTAGATTCCACGAAATTTTTAATGAAGCCCTGCGGAAGGGGGAACCGTTAAATCATTTATCACACACAAAATGTTCAGAGCTATAAATGCATGGTCTAGGCGATTTTATCAGGGTATGTAAAGGGGCAGTAACTTATTAAGACCTAAAGTCTGAGACCTAAAGGATGAGGGTAAAAGAGGGGAATACTCAGAAAAGAATGACAGTGGGAGGCACGGCAAGAGGCCCACCATTGGTGGATTTGAGAAAGAACCCCAGGATAGGGATGGGGTGGGAGAGGTTGGGCTGGGGATGGCAAGACAGGAGGATGAAGAATTGAAAAGGAGACACATGCAGAATTTTGGAGCCAGGATAAGGATTTTGGATTTTGTTTCAAGTGTAATTGGAAGCCACTGAAGGGTTTTTAGCAAAGGAGTAACTTGACTTCTGTTGGCTCAAGGCCCAGTCCCAGGTTTAACCAGTTTGCAGGGAGACACCAGTAAGTGAATATTCTTAGCAAAAGTGGAGAGTATAGGGTCAGAAATAGTGAGATGCTGGTTAATACTATGCCCAGACACATCAGATACATTAATTGATCAAGTTTGAGAATATAAGGAAGAGAGCTGCCTCTTACCTCATTTAAACTACAGTCTTGGAATTGCACACGGTGTGGGATCTAAAATTGACTGTGCAAGCTGAAACCATTCAAAGTGATCTTAATAATCAATGGGAAAATTATATTTGTTCCAGGACCTATGAAAATTGTCAAAACGTTAAAAGCCCTCTTACTGTCAGTTATAAAGTATACAGGAAAATGAAAAATAATGAAACTAATATCTATTTAGCACACTGTAATTTAAAATATTAGAAAGATTGGAAATCAAAGTATTTTCTTTCTTTGTAAAAACTTCCCAAGAGTAGTTTGAACAATAACATGATAGAGCACTCATCTTTTCAATGCCTTAGCCAATTGTTATACTCCTAAGTTTGAAACAGCTTCCAACATTTTATTTTTTGCTCTTTAATTTTGTAAAATATCTCCAAGAGTTTCTCCAATATGAAGTTTTCGCCAGTAGCACTTTGCGATATTTTCATATTTTTTGTCATAACCGCTTTCCTCATTTATATCAATAAATTCACTTTCACTAAATTCCTCTGGCTGCTTATCTAGTCTATCAGATGATGTTACTGTCAATATTCTCACAGTCAGCTCTTTCTTCTTTCACTCCATTTATTTTTTAGTCAACTTTCACTTTCAGTGTTATGTCACTTATGGTTTCTTTTCTACACTCTCATCTTTTTTTTTTTTTGGCCAATTCCCTCTTTCAATTACTCATTTTTGTAAAAATGTCACTTGGGTTTATCACTAGGAGATAAGGAGATAAAACAACCATACACTTTACTGTCTGTGCTTAAACTGAGTAAGGGATCTGCAGTGATGGTCACTGACAAACTTTGAAAGAAATGACATGATCTATACTCCGATCATGATGTGCCTCTGATTTGTGGACTGAAGAGCTAGCTGTCATTTGTACTTTATGTGATTATTCACAGTTAATATTCTATGGTAACTGAAATCTGAACTATGTTGATGGCGCTGGTGTTAACTAAACTGTATTTGATTTGAGATTTGTGTATATTGGAATCATGAAAAGTGAGAACTACCTATACTCTAAAATGGCAAGAGTTTCAGATGTGAGGGAAGATAGGCAAGGAGAATAGAAGTTCATTCGATATTAAATAAGGCCTCTGTCTGGCTGCCTGTTTGTCTATGTGAACCTGTCTGTGTGTCAGCATTACATTGGTCCCATGCACTTAATTTTTAAAAGTACAGTTAAAAGATATTTATGATGTGTGCTCTCTTGGTAAATATATTAGTCATTGATTTTGATTTCTGGTTCAAGATTACTTTCAACAGATTAACATATTCATTCATTTATTTGTTCATCTGTACCCAGTACAAATTGGAGCTCAATAAAAAATTGTTGAATGAACGAATGTTGACCTCCACTATCTAAAGAGAAAAGTTTGAAAGAGACTAACTTCACAGATTCATTTTGAGAAACACATTTATTTATGCACTTAGATTATTTTTAAAGATCCTAAATTCCAAAATATTTCTGAAAATTATCATAAATACCTTTCTCCTGGACCCAGGGGAAATCAAATAAGCTTTTATTTTTGTGCATTCTTTAGCTAAAAAGCAATTATATAGAATCATTTTCACTCATAGAAGTGGAGATATGTTTTTGTAATCTAAAAAATATTTTCTTTTATGCTTGTCCTAATGTTCTTTTTGTAATATTTTTATTGTTAAATATAATGTATAGAGTATTTCATAAAATATGAACATATAGTTTTATAATGATAGTGAGCACCCATGCAACCACAATAAAAGTCAAGAAACAGAACCTTGCCAATACTGCAGGACCTCCCCTTTTGTCCCTTCTAATCATAATGCCCTCCTTCCTTTCTAGAGAAAATCACTACCCTTGTTTTTATGATAATCATTTCCTTGCTTTTTAAAAATAGTTTTACCATTATGTACACACCTCTAAACAATATATTTATTTTTGCTTATTTTAAAAATCTATGTGAATAGTGGAATTATGCTATATGTATTCTTTGTCTTGCTTCTGTTATTCAATATTATTTCTTAGAGTCATCCATATTATTCCATGTAACTAGTCCACTCGTTTGCACTGCTGTATGTGTGACTATATCAGAATTTGTCCATTCTAGTGTTAATTGACATATGTTTTTTGTAATTTGGGGTATTTGTGAATAAGACTGTTATGAATAGTCTTTTTGTTGCTATGATCTTATTTTGTTCATATATCCTCGTGCATGTCCTTATTCACAGATTATAGGATTGTGAACAAAAAAAATCCAAAAGGATCTACAAATAATTATAATTAGTAAGAGAGTGCAGCAAGTTTGTTGAATATGAAATCAATATTCAGAAATCAATTTTATTTCTATGCATTAGCAACAAACTAAATACAAAATTTTAAAATATGTCATGTAAATTAACATTAAAACCAGTAAATCTCTAAGAATAAAATTTAATAAAAGATAAGGATGTTGCAGAAAAATCAGACTGGCGAGAAACCAAGCACCACTCAGAGAGTTGGACAACTCAGGTTTATTAAGCTGGCAGTCCCAGAAGAGCTAGAGCTCTGAAGATCTGGGCCCTGAGCTCAGGGGTAAACTTCCTTTTATAGGACTTGTCAGCACAGTTACCGTTGGCATGAGCCAGTTGGTTAATTTGTCCTCAGGCGGTTACAGAGCACGGGAGTTGCTATGGGCTATAGGCAGTTACAGAGCATGAGATTCGATACATCTGTTATCTAGACAGAGCAAGCAAAGGGGAAGGTGAGTCTTCAGTTGATCTCCTGCCCTTTGGCCTATGCAGCAAGCATGTCTACAAAAGCAGAACAAAGAACTGATTACGAGGTTAGTCATTGAGTGGAAAATTCCTCTTCAAGGAGACCTTTTGGAGAAAATTATAAAACTGTAGAATTTTTAGATTTTCTATATACAGGATTATATCATCTGCAAACAATGAGTTTTACTTCTTCCATTTTTTTTTTATATACTGCTATTTTCAATTTGCTAATATTTTGTTTAGGATTTTTACATCTAAGTTCATGGATGAGATTATCCTATAATTTTTTTCTTATAATACTCTTATCCAATTTTGGTATCAAAGGTTATGCTAACCTAGTAAAATTAATTAAATAGTGTTCCCTCTCTTATTCTCTGAAAGAAATTAAGATTGAAATTCTTGGTCTTTGAGAGTTTGATGGAACTTATCAGCAGAATCATCTGACCCTATAGTTTATGGGTAGATATTTGACTACCAGTTAAATTTCTCCTTCAGTGGTTATAGAGTATTTATGTTTTAAAATCTTGTTTTTGATTTAGTATTAGTTAGATATATTTTTCTAAGAATTTGTCCAATTAGATTGAAGGTCAAGTCATGAAGGATCTTGAACAAGTCTTGAAGGGGAAAGTAATCATATTTTTATTTTGTTTTTAAGTTATTATGTACCAAAAAAACAATGTACTAAACACTGATAAATAAAGTTGACAAAACAGGTTCTCTACCCTTGGAAAGCCCACAATATAGTGAGAAAGGCAATCATAGAAATAAATTACAATACAATACAATAATAAAATTTATGAGGTCAGATAGCTTACTCTGAAACTGAAGTTTGACTTTTGTGTATCTTTTGATTAGTTCCACTCAACATCTCTCTAAGAATTCTCAGCTTTACATTACAGGCAAACATCTAGATCCCTTAGGAGCTATTAAGATGGGTTAGCCTTCCATAACATTCATCACTTTAAGGTGTATAAATCATTGGTTTTTACTATATTCACAAGTGCGCACATCCATTACACTCTATAATTTCAGAATGTTTTCATCCCTGTAAAAGAAACACCTTATCCATTAGCAGTCATTCTCCATTCCCTCTTCCCTCGACCTCTCGCAACCATTAATTTACTTTCTGTCTCTATGGATTTGCCTGTTCTGGACATTGCACATAAATGGAATCATATATTTTTTTAAAAAAAGGGAGGAGGGTGGAGTAGAGAAGCTTGAGTTAGTACCCAGCCTGACTTCTTTCTGGACTTAATCCCCTAGACCCATGTTCATTGTTTCAACAGAGTACATAATTCAGTTTTATGAAAGCCAATGATTTCTCGCTCCTTCTCTATAGGTGTAGAGAATATCCAGGTAGTGGCTGCAGTTCCACCTCTGGTCTGGCTGCCATGTATCATGGGCGAACTACTGGTAAAGGGCCCCACACACAGATTTACCAGCAACCTCCAAGGCTTCTCATTGTGCATGTCACTCTACCATCCTGGGCTGACATCTGCTCCAATCTCTGTGAGGCTCTGCAAAACTTTTTCTCTCTAGCCTGCAGCTTGATGGGCCCCAGCCGCATGTCCCTCCTCAGCTTATACATGATACAAAATCAGCACGAGTGCATCCTCCCCTTTGTGGTGAGTATATTTACCATTTGTTCATTTTATCTTGAAAGCAAATACGAAGTTTCTGGGGAAGAGATCACAGTTATTACTTAGAAATAACTGTGCCTGTTCTCACACCCAGTACCACACAGGCAACACAATGAGATCAGATGTCATTCTGTGCATAAAGGGTGTTTGTACTGCAAAAGAGGAATCTCAAAATTATTAATATGGGAGTTTAAATAGGCCACATCTTGGCCCCCTCCACTCCTGAGGAAGGGAGAGAAACCTTGGCTTTTACAGACCTTTAGAATATAAGCAACTGACTCTTTTCACACACACCTATTTGAAATGCAAACGCAGGGAAATTAGTCTCCAAATTTCTCTATAGGTCTCTGGCTATTTTTTTTTCCCCCCAAGATTTTATTTTATTTTCTCTTCTCCCTCCTCCTCTCTGGTAACCATTAGTCCATTCTCCATGTCCATGAGTCTCTGTTTGTTTGTCTGTCCTGTTCATTTGTTGCTTTTAGGTTTATATCCCATATATAAGTGATATCATGTGATTTTCAACCTTTTCTGTCTGGCTTATTTCGCTTAGTATGATTATTTCCATGCATGTTGTCACAAATGGCAGTATTTCATCTCTTCTTATGGCTGGGGGGTATTCCATTGTATATATATACCACAGCTTCTTTAGACAATCATCTATTGTAGGACACTTCAGTTGTTTCCATGTCCTGGCCACTGTGAATAATGCTGCTCTGAATAT